TACATGGAAGCTTCACGACGCTTTCCATGTCCAGCTACTGAAGCCCTACAAGGACCCCAACCAACAGTTCCAGGGACGGCAACTACCGCCACCACCACCTGTTCTCATACATGATGAACCCGAGTACGAGATCGAGCGCGTTCTCACCCATCGGCGCCGCGGTGGCAAGACTCTCGAGTTCCTGATACGCTGGAAAGGGATACGACCCCACTGAGGACAGTTGGGTTGCAGAAGCTGATATGGGCAACGCACGCCGTGCTCTCAAGGACTATCTTGTCAAGCAGGGTGTATCTCACGCCACTCAGCTTTGAGGGGGGGACGTGTGAGAGTACGACGGCTTATGCCAACTATGCTTGCTTGCCTCTACTTTATCATGCTATTTCTAGCATAAGATAATCATATGCATGCATGAATTGCTTGATTTTCTAGGCTAGGTGCTTTCCTATATTTTATTTTAGTTATAGCACCGAGCTAGGTTGCGTGCACTGAATTCCGGCTTTTCGGTTGCCACCGAATTGACTTCTACCGAATTCGGTAAGGATCTGTTTGGGCCGCTTCGCGACCCGCGGAACCTTCGCGTAACACCTGGTTACGGGACCTTGTGTCGAGCCTATATATAGCCTCGTGTTGTACCCAGGTGGACATTCAATTCAATTCAATTTGAATCATCTTTTCTGAGCTCGATCCCAGATCCTCACAGGCAAGGTAGGCACAAGACCCAGCTGAGTACAGAAGCGCTGATGACCACAAGGCGCAAGTGCCTTGGTGAAGATATCAGCAGTGTTGGCCTCAGAGGCCACGTACGCAAGTCGCAGCTGACCCAATGCTGTAGCTCACGAGCAAGGAAGTAGCGGAGAGCAATGTGCTTCGTTCTGTGCTCCAGTCTCTACTCTCGACACAAGGCCAGCATGGCCTTGTTGTCTACGTACAGCACTGGAGGAGAACGAGGCGGCTCTCCAAGGTCAGTCAGCAGGTAGGTGAGCCAGCGAAGCTCCTGTGCAGCCATGGCCCCGGCGTAGATCTCAGCCTCACAACTAGAGCCGAGAACAGAAGACGAGCGGGTAGCCCGCCACGAAACAGAGCCGGAACCAAGGCTGAAGGTGTAACCCGGGGACGACCGCTGCGTAGCCTGGTCGTCAGCCCAAGAAGCGTCTGTGTGCCCAGTGAGGACCACTCGACTATGCCCTCCAAGCACAAGCCCCATGCCCGACGTACTGCACAAGTAGTGCAACACCCTCTTTGCTGTAGCCATGTGCTCCAGTCTGTGTCTCCCAGGAGCAACATAGCGTGCAAGAATGCTAAGAGGGTATGCAAGGTCAGGTCGTGTGCAGGTCATCAGGTACATGAGGCAGCCAACAAGTTCTGGGTACGGGCCACTCGACTCTACGGACTCATCCGAAGGCAGAGCTGAGAGCGAGTGGCGAGTAGGTAGAGGAGTGCCCTGAGGCGAGGAGTACGTGAAGCCGAAACGCTAAAGGACCTGCTGCACCATGTGTGACTGAGTCAGGGTAATGGTGCGGCGTGCTCTGTCCCGGGTGATCTGCAAGCCAAGGTAGCTGCGGAGTTCACCCAGGTCTGTGCACGTGTGTCTCTTCTATAGCTCGGACTTCACGTGGGCGAGTCCAGGAGTGTCAACAGTGGCAAAGACCAAGTCGTCGACGTACACGAGGATGTAGAACGGCGGCAAAGAGGTGTTGGTGCGCAGAAACAGCGACGGGTCGGCAGTAGAGGGAGCAAACCCAAGAGCCGCAAGCGTAGTCCTCAGTGTGTCGTGCCACTCACGCGGTGCCTGACGTTGACCGTAGACTGGCCGCCGGAGGCTCCACTGGGTGCCTGGAGGAAAAGTCCCAGTGAAGCCAAGTAAGCGGCGCAGCCAGATCTCCTCGTGCAGGCTACCCTCCAAGAAAGCAGTGCTGAAGTCAAGAGAGTAAAGCTCATAGTCGCGCTGAGCAGCTATGTGCAGCAGCACCCGAAGAGTGGTCATCTTCGGGGTGGGAGAGAAGGTCTGAAAGTAGTCAACTCCCTGCCGCTGACTGAAGCCACGAGCCACGTACCGCGCCTTGAAGACAGGCGGAGAACCCGGTGGCCGCTTCAACCTGAAAATCCACATGCCATCGACGATGTTCGCCCCAGGCGGGGGAACCTCGTCAACTTAGGTGCCTGTGGACTTCCAGGAAGCCATCTCTGCGTCCATAGCTGCCTGCCACTAAGAGGAGTAGGGACCCTCTATCGCCTCCGCGTAAGAGCGCCGAGTCGGGATGTCAAGTGCATCCGGGTCTCCCTCAAGGGTAAGCAGTACAAACACTAGATGAGGTGAAGCAGCAGCCAGACACTGGAACTCCTCCTGCCTGTCCTCAAGGACGTCCGTGCCAAGGGCACACTCACCCCCGACGGACGGAGGACAGACAGACTCAGACTCAGCTACAAGACTAGCAACGTAGTCTAGACGACAACGAGCACCAAAGTCGACGAGCTCAGCAACTAAGGCAGACGCAGTAGTGGACTCAAAGAAAGGGTCAGTGACGACAGTAGCTAGGAGACGCTTAACAATAGGACAGGCAGCACGAAGAGAGTCCGACTCCGGGTCGGCAAGAGCAGGAAGAGAGGACTCAGGAGGAGAAGGCAAAGGGGCACGCAGAGGAGCAGTGGACGGACGCAGAGACATCCGGTGCGTGCTAGGGACAGGAGGAGGACGCGGACGCAAACTACGACCACTAGTGCGAGCAGGACGGACACGCGACGCAGGGCGAGACGTAGGCTCACGACGCTCAGCAAGACCTCCTGTAGGACCAGTGTAGGGAGAAGGAGCAGGCAGTGGGGAGGCCAGCTGTAACTGTGACTGTGACGGGACAGGCTGTGGACACTCTAAGGGAGGAGGAGGACCAGTAGAAGGCGGGAGACCAAGAACGTGCTGAAGGAGTGGAACGAAGTACGACAAAGGCCGCGCGGCGACTCCAGACACAGCAGGGACAGCACCAGCACCCTTAGCGGCAGCACCAGCGCCAGCAGCACCTCCAGCTCTAGTACCTCCAGCAGCACCAGTAGCACCCTCAGCAGGACCGCCTCCAGGACCGACAGCAGTAGCCTCGGCGCCAACACCCTCAGCAGCTCCAGCTCCAGTCGTACCCGCAGGCCAAGCAGCTCCAGTACTCCCAGTACGAGCACCTCCAGGACCCGCGGCACCAGCACCCTCAGCAACCGAAGAACCTCCAGCTCCAGCAACACGCCTCCAGCGCCGGGCAAACCACTCGCGCAGCTCCTGTGGAGAGAGTGGCTCCCGCCGAGACGAAGCACCCGGAGAACCTCCAGGCCCAGCACCGCCAGACGTCACACGAGTAGGCCCAGCTCCCTCACGCTACGCACCCCCAGGCTCAGCACCTCCAGATATAGCACCCCCAGGCTCAGCACCCCCAGGCGTAGCACCCCCAGGCTCAGCACCCCCAGGCTCAGCACCCCCAGTCTCAGCACCCCCAGGCACAGCACCCCCAGTAGTAGCACCCGCAGGCTCAGCACCCCCAGGCGTAGCACCCACACGCTCAGCACCCCCAGATTCAGCACCCCCAGGCAAAGCACCCTCAGCAACACTAGAGTCACTAGTAACCTCGACAGGCTCGACTGCGTCTACCTGGGACACACCTGAAGGGGCAGGACCCTGAGGGGGGAGGGGGTCTACCGGGGGGGGACCTGGCACAAGGAAGAGCGGTGGCGGGGGCAGGGACGGAGTGCGGTAGGGGAAGAGGCCGTAGTAGGGGACCGACTCGTCAAACGTGACGTCCTGGGAGGACAGAACACAGCGAAAGGTGGGGTGGTAGAACTGCCACCCTGGCGCGTCAGGGGGGAAGCCAAGGAAGACGCAAGGAGCAGCACGAGGGGACAGCTTGTCCGCAGACAAGTCGCGGACAAACGCCCGAGATCCCCAGACACGGAACGCAGACGCATCGCCAACCTTCCCTGTCCACAGCAAAGCTGGGGAGGTCTCCGGCATGGAGACCCTGGGGTGAAGGTTGATCCGATGCGCCGCGTACCAAACCGCAAACGGCCACAGAAAATGGGGGGTAGCCGCATGCATCATGGAAGTACGGGCGACGTCCATGACCATGCCAATGCGGCGCTCAGTAATCCCATTTTGCTGTAGAGAGTCCGGAAGCGTGAAGGTCTGGCGGATGCCTCGTGCATGACAGTAGGCTCGCAGAAGGCCAGAGGAGAACTCCCCGCCTCTGTCAGAGTGCAGACGCAGAACAGGAAAGTCCGAGCCGAAGCTCTACCTGAGCTGGAGACGAGCTGCGCGGATCCAGTCGATCAACACCTCAGTGACATCACCCTTGCTACGCAAGGGGAAGACTGTGGTGTAACGCGAGTAGTCGTCAACCACCAGCAGGAAGTAGCGCTCATGACCCTGTCCACGGACGCGGGCCGGGCCCCACACGTCCATGTGAAGCGTCTGCAGCGGAGCCTCTGTCGGAGGAAACTTGGAGGAGTGAGGGTCAGCCCGCTGCCGCCCCTCGACACAAGGGACGCAGGTAGGGCCAGGCCCCGGAGGAAGGGGAGGGAGGGACCGGGGAAGACCAGAGACAAGGACACGGGAGGCCATGCCTCGGAGACGAAGCAGGGAGGGGTGACCAAGGCGGTGGTGCCAGAGGAGAGTCTCGTGAGACAGGAGGCGCCACGAGCAGGGGGCAGACTCAGGACCAGACCTGGACGCTGCAGCAAACACCTGACCCGACGCAGCTACCTGACAAGACGCAGTGACTAGAGGAGACTCAGTGGTCAGTGTGTACAGGCTCGACCCCGGCCGACGTGTAAACGTGGCCAGGTGTCGGCCTGTCCGAGCGTCCATGTAGTGGGTCACCCGCTGACTCGCAGGAGTGAACTGGTGAACCCCCGCATCCTGTAGGTCAGCACCACTCACCAAGTTCGTAGAGAACGAGGGGAGGTAAAGACCAGACAGGGTGCCAGAGGGGGCCGCCGGACACGGGAGGACAGTAGAGAAGTGAGCAAGGTTAGGACCCCCAGAGGGGTCTGCCAGAGAGACTGCAACTGGCCGACCAAGCGGCATGAGTGTGGTGCGGTCTCGAAAGAAGGAGCGAGAAGCCCCCGAGTCAAGGGTGAAGATGTGGGAGGCCGAAGCCGACGCGGTACCTGAGAGCGCAGACTCACCAGCACCTGAGGAAGCAGACGCACTGGCACCTAGAGCAGCAGCCTTGCTAGCACCTAGAGCAGCAGCCTCACCAGTACCTAGAGCAGCAGTCTCAATGCCCGGGTCGGGCGGAAAACACCTGTAACAGTCACCCTCATCACTAATAGTCACAGCATACATGGCAGCAAGAATAGCATCAAATTCAAGGTCAAAAACAGCTACTCCCGCCCTAGACAGCTCGCCCCAGCGGGGGATCTCAGTGGCCTCCGGGAACTGGTGACGCCAAGCGTCCGTCAGGCGGCCAAAGCAGCGCTGGGTGGAGTGCGCACCCCCGCACTGCTCACCCGCGCGGTCGCCGGTGCGTAGGACGTAGGTGCACGAACCAGTACCCCCACCCCGCTGGCGTGCAGCGTACCACTCACGGAGCTGCTGAGGGGGGTGGATGTCACGAGTGCGCTGCTGCTGCTACTGCTGCTGGCGCTGACCACCACTAGAGCCGACCCTCTGCGCAGAGCCACCCCGACCAGCGCCACCTCCTCCACCACCGCCTCCTCCACCGCCGCCACCTCCGCTCCCACCGCCACCGCCGCCCCCGCCTCCGCCTCCACTGCCGCCACCGACACCTCCACCCCCGCCACCACCCCCACCGCCAACCCCACCCCCTCCGCCGCCTCCACCGCCACCTCCACCGCCCCCGCTAGCTCCTCCAGCGCCCCTACCCCCCTTGCCCTTGCTAGGGCGGCGTCTACCGCTAGGGGTAGACGCCGCCCCGACCGACTCAAGCCCAACGAGGTCGGCCGCAGCAGCAGAGGCAACAGAGGGCAAAAGGGGGGAGGGGGAACACCCCTCAAAGATGGGGGTGCGAGGGTCACCACGAGAGGCTCCTACAGCTACTATGCTCTTCTCTACTGCTAGGAGGGCCTTCTCAAGGAGGTCAACGGTGAGAGTGGTGGGGCAAACTGAGAGGAAGTGGTCCCTGACTACGCGAAGGGAGTCAGGGAGCCGGGTGACTATGTAGTAGAGGGTGATGTACATGGGGGGGGGGGGGGGGGGGGGGGGTTCTTGGCGCAGAACTCAGCAGGAAGCGCAGCGCGGTAGCGAGTGTCACTAGTGCGGAGGTGCGTAATGAGGTCAGCGACTGTGGGAAAGGCAACAAGGTCAGGGAAGAGGTACGGTAGCATGAGGCGGCTTAGTGCAGCAGTGGCAGGGGAGGAGTAGCGTGCAACTACAGCGTCGTACAAGGTCTGAGCACTCTTGTACTGACTAAAGTGCGCACGCTCAGAGGTAGGCAGGTGGCGACGCACAGCAAGACGTGCAGCAGCATCGCGTGTGGCCCACTGTGAGCGAACAGTGGCGTCGGCATCAGCAGCAGGGGCAGGAGAGGCACCAGAGGTGAGGTCAAAGAGGGAGAGACCGTCTGCCCTATCGCACTGTAGGAAAAGCTGCACGTCATCTACCCAGACGTCAAAGTCAATGGCCCGACCCTAAGCGTCAAAAGCGAGGACACTAGGGGTAGCCATGACAGCAGCAGACTAGCAGTGCGAACAGTAGGGTAAGGGCAGTGCAGTGACAGAGGCACTGATCTTACCGGACAGGGCGGCTCGGGCGGCTTGGCGGCTCAGCGGCTCGGCAACTCGGTGGCTCGGGCGGCTCGACGACTCGGCTGCAGGGCGGCTCGGCTGTTCGGCGGCTCGGCTGCTGGGCGGCTCGGCGGCTCGGCTGGTGGGCGGTTCGGCTGCTCGGCGACTCGGCTGCTGGGCGGGTGTGCCGCTAAGGAAGGCGGGGCCGCGAAGGGCGGCGGGGCCGCTGAAGTGAGCGGCGACGGGGCTGTAGAGGAGGCGGCGGGAGGGCCGCTGAAGGGGCGGCGTCGAGGCCGCTGCAGGGGTGGCGACGGGGCCGCTGAAGAAGGCGGCGGGGCCGCTGAAAGGTTAGCGACGGGGCCGCTGTAAGGGCGGCGACGGGCCGTAAGGGGAGGGCGGCGACGGGGCCGCTGAAAGAGGCGGCGGGGCCGCTGGAAGGGCGGCGTCGGGGCCGCTGTGAGGGCGGCAACGGGGCCGCGTCAGGGGCGGCGACAGGGCCGCTGAAAGGGCGGCGACGGGGCCGCTGCAAGGGCAGCGATGGGGCCGCTGGTGAAAGGGCGGCGACGGGCCACAGGCGGAGGGCGGCGACGGGGCCGCTGAAAGAGGCGGCGGGGCCGCTGGAAGGGCGGCGTCGGGGCGCTGTGAGGGCGGCGACGGGGCCGCGTCAGGGGCGGCGACAGAGCCGCTGCAAGGGCGGCGACGGGGCCGCTGCAAGGGCAGCGACGGGGCCGCTGGTGAAAGGGCGGCGAGGGGCCACAGGGGGAGGGCGGCGACGGGCCGCTGAGGGCGGTACGACGGGGCCGCGAAAGGGGCGGCGCGACGGGGCCGCGAAAGGGCGGCGCGACGCGGCCGCGAAGGGCGGCGCGACGGGACCGCTAAGGGCGGCGCGACGGGCCGCTAAGGGCGACGCGACGGGGCCGCTAGGGAAGGCACGACCCTAAGCGCGCTTCGGGCAGGGGCGGGACGCGCCCCGGGCAAGAAAAAAAAAGGTCGGTGGGCCCTAGGAACAGTTCCCACTAGGGAACCTGCTCGATACCATGTGAAATAGAACAAGGATGATTGAACTATGAAAGAGTTGGGTACAAGTACTAACCCTAATCGGGTTGTACCCCTTATGGGCTACCCCACTACAGCCTACACAAATGTATAAGCTATAATGTTCTGACAGACACTACATCTGATCCGCTTCAAGGACGGCGAGAAGACCCGTCAGCGAGCGATGAAGCTCGCGCACCACCACAGTGGTTGCGCCGATCAGGGCGACTGCAGTCGCTGCGCGCATCGCCCGGCGCAGCCCACGGAGCGCAATCCCAAGCTGTCCAACGCCCGCAACTCCACCCCGCGGGGGCGCAGCCAACACAGGCGCAAGGAGCTCGGCAAGCCGGTCAGCGGCATCCGAGCTCTCGTCCAGAGGGCCGCCTACCAGAGGCACGCCACGAGAAAGAGCCGCGTGGCAATACACCTGGATCAGGTGAACAGCCCGCAGACCCTCAGAGAGGCGCCACAGCTGCCCGAGTGACGCCTCGGGCACATCCGCTGAAGGAGAAGGCCCCACCAGCGAGTGTATCGGCAGATCAGCAGCCAGAGGATCAGGAGCGACGCGCAGCAGGGACGGATACTGCGGCGTCACTGGTCCCCCGCCCGCAGTCACAAACTCCACGCCCGCCACAGGAGGAACCTACGGCAGCCGGAGGCGGTTCCCATGAGCAGCAGCGGACGCAGCGTGAGCACGAGGAGGAGGAGCGGCAGTCGAGGGAAGAGGAGGAGCGGGCTCATAGGGCGTAGGCGGAGGATGAGACATCGGCGCAGGAGCATGGCGCGGCGAACTGCTCAGGCTCGCCCGCCCGTTCCGCTCCTCGCGCATCGCGTCAGACACAACCCGCTGCAAGTCGGCCATTGTCACCGGCTGATCGTACACCCACCCGCAACCGTGACCACGCCCTCCCCACCAGCCCCCTCGGCCGCCACGTGGTGCAGCCCGGTTCGCCTGGGAACCACGGCGGCGAGGTGAATCATGACGCCGCCGTGACGTCTCTCGCTCGTCACGCGGTACAGGGGATTGTGGCCGATGCTGCCGGCGGCCCAGGGACGCAGGACGCTGGGCAGGAGGACCAGGAGCAAGGGGTGTGGGAGCAGGACCCGCCTGTACGGTCGGAGGCGGCACTGTCGCCGCCGCAGGCGGAAAGGCAGGAGCATCCGGAGGCGTCACGCGAGCAGACTGAACCTCCGCCGAGCTCGGGCCGGCGCTGGTGGCTGGAGGTGGCTGGTAGGACGGGTCCGCACCAGCAGCAGCAGAAGGCGCCACGGCAGGCGCAACCAGCGGTGGCGCGGAGGCCACTTCAGCAGCAGCAGACGATGCCGCAACCACAGGCACGGGCGCCGCCACGCCCACGGGAGCAGGAGGAACCACAGGCGCAGGCGCATGAGAGGGCGCAGGATCAGACGCCGCAGCTGGCCCAGGGGCAGGCGCAGGAACGGACGCCGAGGCGAGCGCGGGAGCAGGCAATAACGCAGGCGCATCACCAGGCGCCACTACAGGCGCTGACAACGCCGCAACGGCGGGAACAGTCGGCAGAGCAGGCGCGAGGACATGGCTGGCCTGAGTCACGGACGACGGGGCAGGAAGAGATGGCATCCCCACAGCCGCTGGCACCGGGGACGAGACGGCAGGAGGGGCAACTGCAGCCGACGCCACGACAAAGGGCCGCGGCGAGTACGAGTAATACTCGTCGCCAATCGACGTAGGCATCGCGGGGCGGCCGGGGCGGCGGACGAGGAGGAGCGACTGGACGGGGAGGCGGACCTGAGAACGGTTTCCAGAGGGAGGCACGGCGAGCCTTGACTCGAAGAGTGGATGCTAATGAAGCTGCAGAGGAAGCAAGAGATCCGACTTTTATACCCGTGGTGGTGGAAGAGTCTACCACGGAGGAATCAGGGGAGTTAGCAGAGGATGAACTGGAAGGAAGGCGTAGGGCAAACCCAACACCTCACCGAGCCGCACCGATTCCAGCAGCACAGGATGGCGAAGTTCACCGGCCGGCACCGAACACCACCGCGTCAGAGGCCCGCCAATTCTCGCCTGAGCAATTGGCAGAGGATCTGGCCCGGTTCGGCGAAGTGGATTTATGGGACCTGACCCCTTTACGCGACAGTTGTCAGCCCCCGCTTTCGCGAAAACTCCCAGCAGACATTCGCCCACTTTTCGCCACAGCCCTTCTGACACCCCTCCTTCACCTCGCGCGTAACCCTGCGTCAGTCGCAGGCTGGCGTCTGCTACTCTTTGTCCCGCGCCTCACCCTTCGCCTGCCGTCAACGGAAAAACCCGATTGGCCGGCGGTCAAACGCCGGCTTTGCCAGTTCAACAAAGGCGAATGGCAGCAGCTTTACGACTTGGCGGTTACCGCAATCACTGGACCACACCCGCCTCGCCATACGCTTGACGCCATCGGCAAACGTGCCAGGGCAGAAGGCCTCACACGAAAAGGAAGTCTCCGCAGGGCGATCCTCGCCCTCGAGTCAACGCCGGTCGCCGACCCATCTGCACCCATCCTCGCCACTCTCAAAGCCAAACAACCCCCCGCGCCACCTGGCATCATCGATTGGAACATCCTCGATTCTGTACAAGCGGCGTCGATGGAAAAAGGAGACTTCATTAAAATGCTATGCCGTTGCGAGAATGGGGTGGGAGGAGGACCGTCGGGTATGACATTTGAACACCTGCGTGATGCATCGCTGGCCAACGCGGGGGTTACCACACACCTCCACGCCCTTGTCAACACTATCCTGCGAGGCAAACTACCTGACGAGGTCTGCGCGCTGCTAACGGCCAGTCGCCTCATAGCTCTAGCTAAACCTGACGGAGGCACGAGACCGATAGCCGTAGGGGAGTGCATATTGCGACTGGCCGCCAAGTCTGCCCTCTCAGCCCTCTCCAAGGAGTGTCGTGCGCATTTCCTGCCCTTACAATACTGCTGTCAGTCCAAGGCGGTAGTGAAGCGATGATCCACGCTGCGAGAGCTTTTACGTGCGCTAATCCAGGCGCGCTTATACTATAGGCGGACCTGGCTAACGCAATCAACTCCATCAACCGCGGTGCAATAGTCGACGCCATTCGCGACACCGACCTCCAAGGTCTTCTCCCTCTCGTTAAAGCGTCGTATAGCCGGCCAGCCCATCTATTCCTTGACGCGGGGTTTGGCTGCGAGGTGCTGACTAGCGAGACAGGCGTCCGACAAGGCGATCCGCTTGGTCCCCTGCTGTTTGCCGCGGGGATCCACCCCATCCTCTCAAAGATGGCCGCCGCTTACCCATCGGTTCTCTGCTTAGCACTCGCCGACTACGTCACCTTCCTGGGCCCCAAAGCCGACTGTTCGGACGCCTTCCACTGCTTCACAACGGGCCTGCGCGAGGTGGGGCTGACCCACAACCCTGAGAAGTGCGCCGCATGGAGTGCAG